AACACTTCACTCCTTCAGATTCTTTCTGCCAGTCTATTCAGTCTTCCATATTTGGGGGTCTCAAACTGCTTTCCAGAGCTTGTGAGAGGGAAGGGTAATTTCCTTCCAATTTAGAAGGAGGTAAATCAGAGAATGGCTAAGGGACTACCCAAGGTTTTCTTTCAAATTTAAGAATGACCAAAGGGTACCCAGCTAGGGCTAGACGTTTGAATACACAGCACAAAGGCAATATAGGATAGACTCTGCCCTTGGGAAACTTGTTATTACTGGGAGATTTGGTATGTAAATGAAAATCAAAAATAATTGCAAAGGTGTTATATAAATAATTCAGTTCCCACCTACTTATCCAGGACTTGCTATCTGCAAGGTGTTCTGTGAGGCACTGGGTAAAGGAAGGGAGTTAGAAATATAGGTAAATATAGTCCCAGCCCTTAAGAACCCACAGTTTAATTGGCTGCAGGAGAGGCAGGGTGGCAGAAACAGGAAGCTAACACTTGGTTAAATGTAATAGCTGACACTATGAAGACTGGAGGGTGAAAGGAGTGGAGGGGGCTTGCTAGAATTTGGGGGCTGGATAGAGTTTTGCTGAGAAAGCTTCCTGGAGGAGGTGGACAATGTGATTCTGGAAAACAGAGGAGACAGAGAAAGAGAAGAAGAAAGAGCACATAAGCAAAACCTTTTCACATACTTGCCTTTCCTGATTCAGTACAGTAATCACCTCTTCCATGAAGCCTTCCCAGGCATAATTAGACACTGCCCAGCTCCCCTCCAGGCTCTCAAGGCATGCCTATTACAAAGTGTACCTTATTGCTTGTTTCCTTATCTGTTTTTCTCCGATCAAGGGCCCCACACCACCAAAGGAAGGAAGGAAGGAAGGAAGGAAGGGAGGGAGGGAGGGAGGGAAGGAAGAAGGGAAGGCCTTTCACTATAAGGTGACTGGGTACTGCATTCACAGTGGGGTGTCTCACTTTGTTTTTGTTTATTTATTTTTACTTTTTACTATTTTATTGAAGTATAACTCACATACGGTGAAAGGCACAAATCATAAGCATACAGCCCGATGAATACTTACATGTTTACAGCTGTGTAGCCACCACCCAGATCAAGTTATAGAATGCTTTTAGCATTCCAGACATGGTGGGCTTCCTCACTGACCTGAGTCACTGCCACTGTGGCCCGAGGATCTGAACCAGTAGGGTGATGTAACTGGGAAGCACCATCCAAGAAAATTATGAAAGAATTTCAGGAATTTGGGCTGGAAAAGCCAAGTGTGGCGGAGCGGGGTGGGAGAGGGGCCTGGGCTCTGATGCCGGCACTCCAGGCAGCGTCTTTCTGTACTTACTTGGCAGGTATGAACGGGAGGCCCACAGGTGCGCCACACTGGAGAAAGACTTTGTGGTCCTCAAAAAGGTGAGGGTGGGGTCAGCTGCTCTACCCGAACCCCGAGCATCCACCGTGCACAGAGCCCGGTCCTGGGCTGGGAGGGCAGTGGGTGGGAGATCCTCACACACGACATGCTGTCACACTGCCTATAGGGACCCTCTGAGGAAATGGGACATCTACATAGACACAGGGGGACCCCAGGACAAGATCCAACTGAGGGACTATGTGATGAGCTCTGGTGTCACTGTGGAAGAGGGTGGGGAGGGAGTGGAAGAAACAGAACTGGTTGGGATGAATCAGGGAAGGCTTCCTGAAGGTGGTGTGGGTCAGTGTCAGGCAAAAGAGAGAGCAGGGCAGGGCGGGGCTGGAGGAGGAAGGAGTGGGAGCTGGAGACGGCCATGGGGTGGGTGTTGGGCAGTGTGTGAACAGAACTCCTGGGTCAGAGTGGGACCCCCAAAGAGGGAGTGGGGGTATATGGCTTTTATCTTCCTGTCCCCAGGATGTGGACGGAGTTCTCTCGAGCAAGATGGAGTTGGAAGGCAAGGTGGAGGCTCTGAAAGAGTACATCTGCTTCTCGAGGCGTCTCTATAAAGAAGTACGGATCACTAAGGGCAGAAGTGATGGTCTGCCAGGGGCAGGTGGGCGGGAGGGAAGGGGACAGGGTGGGCAGGCTCCTGTGGCGATAGTGGGAGTGGCTGGGGGGGGGGGGGGGGGGGGGGGGGGAGTGGTGGTGGGTGAGATCACTATGTGTGTGAAGGGCTAACACGCACAAAGCAATAGTCTTGTCCTGTGGGTGGCAGTGGGGAGCCACAGGGAGAAGCGTTTCAGTTCCACATAAAACCTTTCCTACAACCAGAGCTGAACCACATTGGAGGCAGCTCCCCAGGAAATGATAAGTAAGGTCCCCATCAGTAAGAGGTATCAGTTAAGAACAATACTGACAAGCATTTATCAGCAATGATGGGGTGGGGATACGGGACTGAACTGGAGATGCTTCCTTCCAACTCTGAAGCTTCTGTGGTTCTGGAATTCTTTGAGAGTGGCAGAGAGGACTCAAACATTTGCAGTTATTATTTAGTTTTGCTTTTCCCCCCCAGAGGATAACTTTTTACTTAATTGCAAGTACTGTGCAGGCCCATCATTATCACCACTGAATAAGTAACTGTCGTCACCTATAGACCAACTGAGCCAGAGGGACCCTGGGGCTCTCCTCCCTGGTGCTCACAACCTAGGGGAATGGAGCAGATGCGAGGGTGCCACTGTGAGGGGGGAGGGTACCTGCAAGAAAAGCTGGTTGCCCCGCCACATACCCTTGTGGGTAGGGGACACCCACCTACCTATCTCCTCAGCCCTTTCAGCCCTGGTCCCCTTGGTGGGCAAGTGGTCATGATGTCATGGCTCCTGCCACTACTAGGACACTTGGGCAGAGTGACCCTGAAGGACCTTTCTGCTCTGCTTCCAGGTGTCAGCACAGGAAAGGTGTCTGGCAGCCTCATGAGCAGGACTACACGGGACCCAACAGCCCCGTGGCCATTTGGGGGGAGTAACAGCCTGTGTCAGCTGCAGGATCCTGGAAGGACTCCCAGTCTGGAATATAACACCCTCCCACTCCACCCCCCATCCAGCTTTTTCCAGCAACAAAAAAACAAACAAACAAACAAAAGCAATTTTCTTCAGAACTCTTTTTTTTTTTTCTTTTCCTAGAGGATTATTTCAGAATTCCTTCAAGTCACTGCCCTGCTCTTCCCGCCCTCTCCCCACCCCTCCCCCAACTAGGAAGAAGGGAGAGAGATGGAGTGTGGAAGAACGTCTACATCTTCCTCCATCCCACACCTGTACAGGGCGCCAATGTGATGCGGCAGGTGAAGACGGGCTCTCAGGCCCTTCTGTGGAGCTTAGGGGGATTACCTTTCTGGTGAAAGCCATGAATACTCTACCAAGAAAAAAAAGTATGTATGAAATTTTGCCTTCTATTCCAGGGTAAGATGGGATGCTGTCAGACCCCCGAAGTCCATCAGTGAAGCCCCTAGGTTTAAGGGGGGAGGGCTCGGTGTTTCCTTCACCGCCAAAGCACAGGCCAGATCGGTGTCTGGGGAGGGTTTGCAGCTGCCCCGAAGGAGAAGCGCTGGAAGATCCTGCTCCCCAGCCTCTCGGTGTACTTAAAGGACGTCTCAGGCTCTCAGTTTGCCCAGCTCTAAAATGGGCGTGCAGGCCCTCCAACCCTGGGGGGCTGGAATATAAAGGCTGGAGAGACGCGGAGCTGGGTGGGAGCGGGGGTGGCGGTGAAGAGCGGCTCCCGGTTGGTCTCCCGAAGCCGGGGGAGGGTGGAAACGTGAGTTCAGGAAGCAGGGGAGGCCAGCGCCTGGCACCGCACGAGGAAGGCGCTGGCCCGGACGCGGTGCCCACGGGCGGCCCAGGCGCCCCCGGTGCTCCCTGGGCCCGAGGGCGGGGCCCCTCGCCGGGCGGCCCCTCCCCGCCCCTCCC